AAAAAAAGGCCAATAATTTATGACTTTTTTAAAACTCGAACTTAGCCAAGTTTAGCCGCTCAAAAGTCTTCTTTAAATGGTTTTAGCAATTACAATATCTATTTTCATTTGAAGATAATTTTATCTAGTTTACAGTGAAATAATTTTCAATTACTTAAATTAAATATGTATTTAGTTATCGCTTCCTATTCATCAAAAAGCATGACTTGAAACAACACTAAACTTGGATTTCCTACTTTTCTTCTGAGAATTGGCCCATTGTTTAAATGAAGTTTTTTTTAGACATTGAGGTGGACTATTACTCCTAATAATACTATACTATAGTACTATAATAATACTAATAATAATACTATCTTATAATACTATACTTCTATAAAAATTTCTCTCTACTTACATTGCACCCTGTATATATTGTCTTTTAACCACAATTTTCTTCTACAGATGAAAATGAATATTGTTCGACAAACTAATGAAAAAAAATCGAATATTATCAATAATGCTACAGTATTGGATAAGATTATTATTGTCAATTCCTCATAGCCTCGATTCACTTTTAAATTAATATCACCCAGGTCTCACAGGTGAATGTGGTAGAGTTGCGGTGACACCATTTAGTCTTCTATCAGAAATTTTCGTCACATGGTTTCATAACTATTCCATTACTTCATTCATACGATCTTTCCGGAATTCGACAAGGAATACAAAAATCTTGTCACACTTTTGGTGGTTCTATATTATAATGTGTTGTCAGTAAATATTAATACAAGATAACAATTAAAAAAAATCTCTCTCTATCTCTCTCACACACACACACACACACACACACACACTCACAATAACATTTGCCATCCTTAAGTTGTTTTTCTTCAGCAGAATATAGCGCACGCGCAAATGTTATTTTTTAGATATGCCAATATTTTAGAAACGGATTGTTCGATTTGGCTCAAAATTAGGTAAAAGGTAGGTATCGGTAAAAAAAATAATTTATTGCCAATTTTATTGAATTTTTTGTAATACTTTTTCTTATATATGCGCAAACGTGTTTTCCTTTATACGTCTACAACTCTCAAACCACACGTTTGATTTGGCTCAAATTTGGAGAGAAGTTAGGGATTGGTAAACAGATAATCAAATATTTATGGATTTTATAAAATTCTATTTACAATACTGTTAAAAAAAAAATCAATTTTCTTCTGCTTTCAGATCAGGAAATGTATTATTTGACACGCTTTAGTTTCAGAACTGCTAGATGGATTTGACCCAAACATGGAAGAAATTCGAAGAATAGTATAGAAATTACCTAGTATGAATTTCATTGAATTCCATTAAATAATTGAAATTAATATACATAATTTTTAACAGTATATTGGCTTTCAAATTTCTAAGGCATCGATAATATGGAGTGGGGATTAGGTTAAGACAATATTTTAATGAGGTTATAAAAATTGTACGTTGCTAAAGGTGACATTTAGTATGGTAAATAGCATAGGGCAATAGAACATGAAATTATACTAATAATCATAAAGAAACAATTAGTTTTTTCTGTCCTGTAAAACACTCAATCTTTACATACGACCTTTTGCACTAACAGTACTGATATTCTTGTTCAATATGCACTGGAATTTTTATCACGAATCATCAAATATCTGTAAATGCGGAATTCTTTCGCATTTTATTATTCGCTGATGAACGAAACCCGTGGGTATCTAACCCCTTATATGTTGAAGGATTACTGAATTTCTAAAAAACGGCTTCTCTCAGAGATTTTATTCTCATACGAAAAATTTTAGACCTTGTAACATAGATATTTTTTAGTCAATGAATACTGTGAGGAAGCTATACTGGCCTTACTTGGAAGACTTTTTTTTTTTTCTTTTAGGCCACATATATCGTTGAAATGGATACTTATATCCTCCATAGCTCTTTCCCTTGAGTATGGCAGCTTGTATTATTTTATAATAAAAGGCTTATCAATTTCAAATGGAAAATATCATATACTAAATAAAAATTATTATATAGATTATATTTCTAAACCGATGTTCAACTTCACCGATGATGTAAGTTACAATATTTTGCAATAATAAAAATGTTTTAAGTGGGCAACAAAGACTCGTACATCTTACCAAATATCTAAAAATTTATGAGAATCAATAAATAAGATACCATAGGATGCCATCAAATCCTAAATGATTTAGTGCTAGAAACTATAATCTATTGGAATTTAGATCTGTGAAGGTGGCCATTGATAATTTGATTTTTATCATATAATTTCCCTAATAATATACAATTAAAAGTTTATATTCAATAATTATATGAATAATAAAGTTGTATTGATTCTTACGGAACAATGATACTCACATTACAAGCCTGTCGAGAAGAGATGGTGTTTTCCGAGATAGAAACCATACTTTCATAGGCTCTGATTTTCCTTTCATCGTAACTGGGCCTCTATAAGTAAACTGGAATTCGTCTGATTGGTTATCAGAATTCCGCAAAACACTGAAATACATGCATTTATGTTCATTTTAATTCAATCATAATATAAAATATATGAGAGGTTCTCTTGTAATGACAATGCATATTTTGAATAAATTTAATAAAGTTTTCATTAGTTCATATTGTAAAATTTTGTTAGGTTTATATTAAATATTATTTTATTTATTATTTATAGCGTTTTTTATATAATTAATACATCATTTTTTTTAAATAATAGTAATTATATCTATTTATGTAAGAAATCAATTGGTGTCAGGGATCTGCAAATGCCAAAGTGAGTAATGAGTCCCAAGTATTTTACTCAACTATTGACCTCCCAATTCTGGTTGTGGTGCTCATATATTCAACTTGCACGAATCGGAGTATTTTACTGAAATAGCTGACCTGCGCCACTTTGAGTATTTTACTCACGGCCTATTATAAATTATAGTTTAAATTACCATATATCTATTGTTAAATATATATATATATATAAATATATATATATATATATATATATATATATATATATATATATATATATATATATATATTAATAGATATGCCATTGTTTTAATTACAAAAGTATTGTTAAATATAGACTTTTAGTTTTTTAACTCACTACTAATAACAAATTTTGGATTAATTTTTTTAATAATATCGATATTACGATCCCATTATACGTATACATCGTTTTATAATATGTTTTTAAATAGTTGATTTTTTAAAATAATCTCCATTTTGAGAACAAGCCACTGTTTCTTCGGATTTTTTTCATATGAGGGTCTACTTATATGTTTTCGGAGGCACATTTTTTAAAATGATATCCATTTTGTGATCACTCCACTGCGTTTTGACTTATTTAAGTTTTTTGGATTTCTTTCATATCAGGGTCTATTTCTATGTTTCGGAGCCGTAGTTTTTGGAAGTGATGTCCATTTTGAGATTACTCCACAGCGTTTTGATTTTTTTGAGGTTTTCGGATTTCTTCCATATCGGGGTCAATTTATATGTTTTCGGAGCCGTAATTTTTGAAAATTATGTCGGTTTTTAGATTACGCCACTGCCTTTTGATTTTTTTGAGGTTTTCGGATTTATTTCATATGAGCATCTATTTATATGTTTTTGAATCCGTAGTTTTTTAAATAATGTCCATTTTTAGATTACGCAACTGCGTTTTGACTTATTTGAGATTTTCGGATTTCTTTCTAATCAGGGTCTATTTATGTGTTCTCGGAGCCGTAGTTTTTGCAAACGTTGTCCATTTTGAAATTACGCCACTGCATTTTGACTTATTTGTTTTGTTTTTTCTGATTTAGCCCACAGCGTTTTAACTTATTTGATGTTTTCGAATTGTTTCCATATCGGTGTCTATTTCTATGTTAACGGAACCGTAGTTTTTAAATAATGGTGTCCATTTTTTAGATCACGCAACAGCGTTTCGGCTTATTTGATGTTTTCGGATTTCTTCTATATCAGGGTGTGTGCATATGTTTTCCGAGCTGTAGTTTTTGAATATGATGTCCATTTTGAGATTACGCCACAGCGTTTAGACTTATTGGGTTTTTTCGGATTTCTTTCATATCAGGGTCTATTTCTAGCGGAGCCTTAGTTGTTGAAAATGGTATCCATTTTATAATTACATCACTGCGTTTCGACTTATTTAAGTTTATCTTATTTTTTTACAAATAGCTATGTAATTATGATTTCAGAGCTATAGATTTTATTTTAAAACTACACCACTGAGTTTCGTACTGAAATGCAGGAAACAGAAAAGAAAAAAAATCAAGAAATCTTAGATAAAAGCCTTAAACGGCCAGTTTAATCTAAACGGAATAGTGTTTGTGAATTCCTGCAACAGATTTTATTTGTAAAAAATAAAATCAATATTCACAAACAATCACAAATGTGGCATTACCTTCTTTTCTAATAAATATGATGGTCTAACTGTATTAAATAAATATATGAAAAACTCAAATAAGCCAAAACGCAGTGGTGTAATCTCCAAATGGACATCATTTTAAAAACTACGGCTCCGAAAACATATAAATAGACCCTCTTATGAAAGAAATCCTAAAATTTCATGAAGGCAAAACACAGTGGCTTAATCTCTAAATAGAGATTATTTTTAAAAAATCAAGTCTTTAAACATAATATAAAACTGTACATGAAAATTTTAAATCGATGTATAGTTATAACGGTATCGTAATATGTATATTATTTGAAAAAGAAATCCGAAATGAGTTAATCAATTAAAAGTCTATGTTTAACAATATTTATGTAATTAGAACAATGGCACATCTATTAATATAATTTATATGTTTAACTATGGGCATATGGTATTTGAAACTATAATTTATAGTAGGCCGTGAATAAAGTAATCAAAGTGGCGCAGATCAGCTATTTCAGTATACTAATCAAAGTTGGGCAAGTAATTATATGAGGTATTTAAATTATAAACTCTAAAGTATAAATTATGTTGTTTGCGAATAACTTATACAAGGAACAATTATATTATATTTCTCTTACTTGTAGGTTTCCTCAGAGATGTTAATCTTGCCGGGGGAGCCAGTGGTCTCAGTACGAGAAGAGATGTTAACTGTGTTGCCGAAGAGACAATATCGGGGCATCATGTGGCCAATGACACCTGTTACCACTTCTCCGCTGTGGATCCCGATAGTCAGCCTCTGCATCAAATAATTTTTCTCATTAAGTGATTGGTCATTATCTAATAGGGGTATATATCAGCCATTGTATAATTGTTTAATAGAGCTAAAGTGATATTAAATCAAACTACACGTAACTTAAAACAATACGCAAACTACTATTCGATAATACTACAAATAGGGACTTTCAATTTTTAAAAACGATGAATTTAGGCAATATCAAGGAAAACAAAAGAATTTAAACATATCATCAACGAAACTGGGGAAAAATAATAATATGTCGGATTGATGATTTTTTTTTAAATATTTTTTTTAGGACTAGAATACCCCAGTCGGATGGAGAGAGGCGGCTGAAGATAGGTTGGTCTGGAGGAAGATTGTAGAAGTGATCAGGGTACTACAAGGACCATAGCGCAATTGAATGATGATGACGATGAAGACTATATCAGAAGATTGAAATAACGGATGCCCATATAAAGTAATAGGACATAAGTTAGGATTCTTAGATCAATTATAATAAAACTTTTTAAACATAATGAGAATATCTGCAAACAGTATGTTTGAAAACAAAAAATAACAATGGAAAATATTTGATTGTGACCTATGTATGATATATTGCTTTGTAATTTGATATCTAACGGAATCATAATAATATTTAAGGAGAAAACTTACAACGGGTTTACCATCCATAGTACACTGCTTGGCTACATCCATCATGTCCAGAGCGAGGCGGGCAATGCACCTAGCGTGCTCCTCACAGGGCTCTGGAAGACCACTCACTGCCATGTATTTGTCCCCAACTGTCTCCACCTTAACATATTTTATTATGATGGATACTATAATTAAGTTTGTTACCATATTTTAAAAGCAATGTTCCTAGAGTTACCTATCTAAAAACAAACGGAATGCGCTCATCAGAAAGTAGGGGAGTGTAGAGAAATAAACGGTGACTATCGACAATAATAGCTCTCCAATAATATATTTATATGGAGGTAACAATAGATTGATTGGTACTTGTGAGCGACGCGGCCTCTATGGACTGTTATTTACAGTTATCTTGTTATTTAAAGTATTGTTATTTATATTTCTTATTAATATATATATATATATATATATATATATATATATATATATATTAGTAAGAAATAGGCAAAAAAGAGGCAACACCAAATATATTTATATTTCTTATTATACGAGAGTCTAATTTCATATGAAGATAGGGATTATCAGTGCCTTATAACAATTATCAGTGTTGAGGTTATAAACATTTAATAATAATATAAATAACAATAACAACACTTTAAATAAGATAACTACAGATAGCAGTCCATAGAGGCCACGTCGTTCACAAGTACCGATTGATTTAATAGACGGTTTATCGTCAATAATAGGTTTATCTGGAGAAACATGAATCTAGTATGTTATATCTAATATAGATTAAAAAGAACAGTCTGATTTCAGCCGTACTTGATTGTTGTAAAAAATACTAAAAGTAAAGTAATTCTGAGTAAATTGACAAAGAAATATGCACTCAGTTGGCTAATTTTTATTCACAAGAGGAGGTTACGGACGTGGGGTCACCGATTTCAATGAATAAAAATAATTTTGTTCATACTAGGTCAAAAAATATTATACCCATGTCCGACAGTTCATGCCAATGCGCCCTAGGAGCGGACAAAAAAAATTATAAAATATTATTACTTTTTAAATAACTGTTTACTGGCATTGCCCTGCATGCTTTTTTAAGTTATGAAGTTAGATTCAGATTCGTTTTTTGTGTTTTTAAAAATATGAAATACGAATTTGTTTTGAAATAAAAAAAATATAATATAAAATACTTAATTTAATGGAAGGATTTTTTTTTCATACATTTATAAATCATCATGATTTTCTCTTAAGTCAGCATTACAACAGTTGGAAAGTTAAATTATCGCTCTTCAAAACCATATCAATAATTTTAGATTTTTTCAAAAAGAAATCAATCGCTCTAACCTAGGCTAAGATTTTGAAAAATAAAAAAAGTTTGTTTTTCGATTAGTATGAAAATTAGTATTTACGATTTTTTCGTAGTGAGGAATACAAATCTCAACTTGTTTTTTTTATTTAAAAAGAATATGAACCCTCTTTGCTGCTTAGGTCGTTACAAATCATTTCAATATAGAACCAATCCTACAAATAAATGCCTAAAATATTATTTTTCTAAACCAGATGGGTATCTAAAGTAAAATTAATTTCACGAAATAAGGTATAATTTCTTAGAGCCGGTCCAAAAAAAAAAAAAAAAAAAAAAGAATAAAGCATATAGTTCATATTATACACACCCAAATATCATTAAATATATATTTTTTTAAAATAAACTAAGACGGTCTTTGTTTTTCGCACCTCTAAAAACCCTCAAAGAAGAATTTTGAATTGAATCCTTAAAATTCTTCGAAACAAGCAACCTTCAAAAATTCTTCTTTAAGAGATTTGAGAGGTATGAAAAACAAAAATTGCCTTTGTTTATCCAAAAGAATATATTTAATGAATCAGCGTTTCCACTGTTTTTTTTTTTTTTTTTTTTTAATTTCCCTTTTGGTCAGTCAGATTTTCTTTTTATCTCCTCAGAAGGAATTCAAAAAGCCCTTTCGCCAAAATATATACAAAATGATACGTAATATTTTGTACATATAATATAAAACGTGCAGTAAGGAGAAGGCTTACTGAACTCAACGAGAAGTTCGGCCTTACTTTTGTTGTAAACGCGCTACCTTGACAAAAGATGATTTGGTCTCTGTTCTGTTTTCTGACGAACTTCCCGGTATAGCCTTGATGGTGACATCCATATGTTCCGAAGGCCGACGCTCAATGCATACATACATCACCGACATCCTTGAGGAATATATGGTACCTTTTGGCCCGTTTATTGCCCTCCTTTTCATTTTCATGCACGATAATACTCGACCACGCATCGAAATTGTTGTACGGGAATACCTAAAGGAGGTTAGCAGCCAGCTCGCAGAGCGGACAATGAATCATATTTAGCATCTTCGGGATCAGCTAAATCCCGTCTAGTCCCGTCCATCCATCGACAACAGAACCCTCCATGTTACCTCCAAGTATGTGAAATGGATCACAATAAAGATCGAATAACCACCTTATTCGTAAGTTAAAGAATGGACTTAATCCGTACCTAATAACAATGTTTGTTTATTTCTATTTTATAAACGAATAAACTCTAAAAGTTATTTATATTTTCTATCTAGAAGAGCAGTAATTCCGCATTTTCAATGGTTGCATTAACGGTGAATTTACAAAAAAAAAACTTGAATACGAATTTTCAAAGAAATCTAAAACTAAAAAAAGTTTCTCAAAAATTTCCCCTATACAAAGTCTTCAATTGAAAATATGTGTATATATATATATATATATATATATATATATATATATATATATATATATTGAAGAACAATAATTTAGCTTTCCAACTGTTGTAGTAATTTTTTTTAATATTCCACATGAAAAAAAAATCCTCCCATAAAATCTTAAATAAAGTCGTGCATTCAAATTAAGACAATAAAATCACTGCTATAGATTGAACTTTTGATGAATCCACCTTATAAATATTTGGGTTCTTTGCAGGGTCAGTAAGGACATCGAATCCAGTGTAGACGCTGTTGAGAAGATTAGCTATCTTCATCGCTCCAGCGGAATCTGTATTAGCAGCGCAGTAGTCACTGAAGCCAACAATTCCAGAGAAGAGGAGGGTCACGCAGTCGTATCTGCGGGGATGAACGGTCCTGTTGTTTCGTAGTTCGGTAGCCACAGAAACTGGCAATACCGAGTACAAAAGCCTGCAAATGACAGACGAATCAAGACAGATAAACAAAAAGTTAGAAACTGAAGGACCAATAAACCATACAAGCATAAAATTGCACAATTAGAACTGCCTGTTGATAATAGGGGTGAAAATGTAAATTTCCTTATGGCTGTAACACAGTTGTTTTTATTCGTAAACGCTGAGATTTGTTTAATTTGCACTGTTAGTTCAATCAAATTAGTTACCTTACAAAAAGTCGGGTAATTAAAATTTATTTTATATATTGTTAGGTATATAAAAAATATTTGAAATTTGAATAAAACAGTTTGAATATAAAAAATCCAAGTTCCCGCCCTGGAAAGCCTTGTGGGTTCGCTGCAGTGCTCCAAAAAACAAAAACAAAAATGGTATACGCTAAATATCTAGGACACTAAATATCGAGGTCTAGGACAAATGGGATGTTGAGGTCATGGTGTAGGGTTATGTTAGTTACATAGAGCGGAGATCGAAGGACTTTGGGCTGAAAGTATTGAAGGTGGGAAATCAGAAATGTAGGAACGGAGGAAAAGATATAAAAATTGAGCCTGTTGGGAATGTTGCGAACGTAATCCAAACTGATGGGAAGGAAGATTTTGAGATTCTATAAAGGGTAGGATTTGTTTCAGGATAATATTTTCATGGATTGAAAGTTGGCTAATTAGGATAAGGTTTTCGAAATAGGATAATAGTGGATTGTTGCCAAAAAAGTGGTGTTTGTTGTAAGTGGTGTTTGACCTCAGAAGGGATTACTGTTATAGGAGGTAAGGAGAGAGGGATGGGTGAAGTAAGGCATTCTTCCACTGTTGTGGTGTAGGTGGGGTTGGATGGATATACTATATAAAAACTATCAAAATAAAGTAATTTGTACAATAAATAATATTTAATAGCTTTATTTAGTTGCTAAAGTCACCATGACTTTTTATTTCCTGAAACTGTTTATCCAACTACTAGTACTTGAAATATAGTTCCCAAAACTGGTACTATGAATAAGTTTAGATTTATAATAAGTAATTATAATAATAAAAGTGCTGTACAGTACCTGTCAGTTTTTTGCTTCTCCGCATCTAGATCCCTGTAGGTTTGTTGTAGCTTGTCTGTCAATATTTCCAAGTCGCGAGTAAGTTTATAGTCGGCTTCGAACTGCTCAGACATCAAGACCAAATCCCTTGTTGAGTCATGCAAGGGTAAGTCGGAAATGTGGAGACCACGGCTGAAAGACATAATATTCAGTAGACATAGACAATGCTATTTAGATTCTTCAGATAAACCAAACTCATTATTCATAAATATTAAATATATTTAACTTAATGTATCTTTCCCTGGTTTCAGGCCGAATTAATATTTCATCTAATTATTATAAAAGAAAATAAAGTTTATTCTGGGACGAAGTCCCTTATGTATAACAACATTTTTCATACCAATTCACATTAGATCTGGCCAAAAGCCTACTCTATTTAAAAAAACAACCTAGTTACCATACCCACTTCTGGAGTACATGGAGCGACCTTTTTCTAATAGATTTCCCTCAAAATTAATTATCCTCCTCTCAGAACGCTATTTCATTCCTTTCACATCATGATCTCATCAAGATTTCCTATAATGTCCCGATTCCTAAGTTCATTCCCAGACAAATTATATGGCAGGATCTTCGCTCATTGACCTCTGAGAAACTAAATCCTTTCCTCCAATCACTTGCGCAATCCTTAGATCCGATCTATTCCTAGCTCTTCATCGATGAAATTGTTTAATGTATTTTCTCAAACCTCCTATTCCTAAATCAACATGCACCCTTAAAGACCTCTACCTTCATACTCTCTGCTGCTCCCTAGATAAATACAGAAACAAGAGATTTGATGAAGAGAAGAGCCACTATAAGAAGGCGTATCAGACGAACACGAAATGCTGATGACTACATCACTTTTACGACTTTTCGAAACCTTCCTTGCGACATTCAAAGACACAATCCTTTTTTACTTCTATATCACTAGCCTCATATCCTAAGTCCAGATGGAAAATTCATAAAAATCTCTCCGTAGTAATGTCAAAAACCTGTACCTTTTATCCTGTTTCTTCTAATAAACTTAATACTCACTTTGCTGACCCTGATTCGTTACCATTTTCCTCCTCATACTGTATTCATTTGACCCTGAAAATTTCTATTTTACAACTATTTCACCAGAAGACCTTGTTTCCTGTATCGTAAAATCTAGAGCAAACGAATATGGCACGGATCTAATTCCTGTGAAGTTAATCACATCAAATCCCATGGAAATCAAACTATGTCTTTCTGCCATCTTCCCTGCCCTACTGCTTATCTTCTTTAAAATTTCCAGTTTTTTCCCGTCAGCTTGGAAAAATGTTATTGTCCGCCCGTTGAGCAAGGTTCCGGTTCCTTTCGTATTTTTCGATTTCAGACCCATCTCCAATCTTTTAAATCTTCGCTCTCTCCTACTCTTTTGTCCATCTGTATTAACGACATTCTTGATTCCATCCATCATTCACAACTACAGGTATACCACATAGATGCCGACGATCTCCAAATCTACTTTTCTTTCTATCCTATTGAGATGCTTGCGGCGATCTGATGGCTACACGATGATATTGACAGTATTAATACTTGGACAGCTAGCAATGATTTAAAATTGAATGTTGAAAAGACTAAAGCTATTCCATTGAAAAGACTAAAGCTATTCCATTGGTTCCAGGCATCTGATTAACTTAATTTCTTATACCCAACTCTTTCTAAATAGGCTACCCGTACGTTTCCACACTTCCGTAAAAAATCTTCGGTTAATGTTTAATCAATATCTTTCCTGGAATAATTTCATTTCCTAAATAATCCGAAAATCCGTAGGTATCCCTCAAACAGTTCCTGAGATTCCGAAACTCCACCCCTTAAAATCCGTTAGCTCCTCGTTTCCTCTCTTATTTTCCCTTACTAGTTGGCTTGAGATCAGATTAAAGAGAATAATGAATTGTTTCATTAAATTTATCTTTGGAGTTCTCAGGTGTTCCCACGTCTCCAGTTGCTATGCCAAGTTGAAAGAGCTCTATGTAGTTTTCCGACGGCAATATTTTCAAGGTGTATTCCTTTTCCGAACCTTTGGAACCAAAAAACCTTCTTGTTTCTATGTCTATTCTTTCGACACGAGATCGCAACCCTCAAATCTGTTTATTCCTTTCCATAGAACTGTTTTCTTTAAAAAATCATTCGTCATACGAACTAACTTGTTTTTGAATTCCCTACTAACCTCCATACGGAAAACCTCATCCTTGACCTTATTTAAATATCATTTATTTTTCCACCTCCTCAGCAATCAAATCTCCGAATATATGTAAAAATAATGTTTTTTATTTTATTTTAGAGCTGTCAGCCGCATTCCTCTGTTATCTTACAGATATCTATGTATTATCCATATTGTTTGTTCGTACAAATATGTGAACTCACTCATATGTAATTATTTATAATTTCATATGTCTACTAGTGATTTTCTTCTTTTTAATATTAGGGTTAGATAACTTTGTAAATTTATTTATTTTTAATTGTATTCTAAGGCCAGACAATTCACATTTCGTTATTTATTGTAGTTATTCTGAGAGGACAAAATGGCCCAAAATAACATATACTTTTCTTCTTCTTCTTCTTCTACAATCTTTTGGATAATATATTATTGATAGTAACATAGGCAAAGGTGAACAATAATAAACTGTTCAACATGTGAGAGGTTAAGTGAGTTGATGGTTGTCGCGGGAATATATCTTGAGAACCAAAACAGATAGTAATGAAGGCTGGAGAAAACAAAACAAAGTCGAGATTGTCCTTTGTCTTTTGTAAATCGTAAATGAGATTATGAGAGAGATGAGTGCTGCTCCTCAACACCCATCCATATCTTATATATTGGTCGTTTATTACATGATTTCCTTCTTAGATCAGTTAATATTAAATTTCGATACAAGAAAAAAGAGAAAAACGCAGAGCAAGATCGAAGTGCCATAGTCCTAAATATCCTACAGATAAAACCTACTATAACAAATTGACTTACGAACTAAAAGTAGAAATTCAAAAAATCCAAAATTCAAAGATTACTTAGCCTAATTGAAAATCTTACAAATATCGACAAATTACTATGGACGACCACCAAAAAGCTTCTGAAGTTTGAAGACTTTAATCACTCATTACTTACTGAATTCAGAACCTGGTCCAAATCCGACGAATGAAAATCCCAAATATTCGGTCAACAACTCTTCCAAAGTTTCAATCCTCATCCTGATATCCTTAATTTATCTCTCCTGGAATTTATCACTAGATAATCCTCTCAAAATGTCCCTTCTACTTAAAGTATTCTATCTCAATGAAATATCCAACATCATTCACAGATTACCTTCAATCAAAGCTCCTTGACATGACCTAATTACATCTCAAATCTTAAAAAATTGTCCTCCAAAAGCCCATCTATCCCATACTTATAACAGGGTGCATAAAAAAAATGACCGTTTTTCAACCAAATATTTGTATTATTATTTGTTTGATATAAAATAAATTTAATACTCAAGGTATAGTCCATTGTTATCTACCGTCATTAGCCATCTGCTAGCCAATAGCTCGATCCCATGCTGATACCATTCTTTGGGATGGCTGTCAAAGAACTCTTGGAACGCAATTTCAACTTTCGTAAAATTATTTCCGTTGAAAAAATGGGCCATGGAACTAAATAAGTCGTAATCCGATGGTGCGAGGTCTGAACTATATGGTGGATGAGGCAGGAGTTTTTCAGGCCAGGATTTTTCAATATATTTTCACAAATTTCGAACCTCTGCTGTGGAGTAAGTTCTCGAGGGACCAGATCCTGTCTTATCCAATCCTTACAATCCAAAATGCTTCGTAAATTTTTTAATGTCCCATAGTTGGTCACAAATAAAACCATTCATTAAGACCTTAATGTTCCATATGTCGTTGCTTTAGCCTATATAACATATATATCCTTTCATGACAAACCACTAGCGGATCCATGATTTAATTTTGGGGGGGAGGCTTCAGCCCCAAATTTTTTTTTTTTCATATGCGTATAACAATAATTAATTAGAAAAAAAAGAAAGAAATTAAGTACCTATATGAAATGGTGTTTAAGTGGTTCTTGAAGTCCTATTAAATGTAATTAAACTAACAAAAATAATTTTAGAGATATGAAGAGAAGAATAGTTGGGGTGCTCAGTCAAAAAAGGAAGGCAAAAAATAAATTGTGGATAATGAAGAGAAGAATAGTTGGGGTGCTCAGTCAAAAAAGGAAGGCAAAAAATAAAAATAATTTATTTTTTGCCTTCCTTTTTTGACTGAGCACCCCAACTATTCTTCTCTTCATTATCCACGACAGTCAACCAATTACCAATTATGAATTTTAGAGATAGTTTTTAATATTTTTTTCTGTAAAACATGGTTATATTTCACCATTGGGGGAGGGGGTGACGGCTTCAGTCCGAAAAGAAGATGGCCTCGTGATCTTCCTTAGAACTATTTGGGAAGGGCTATGATAGAGAAGTGTCTCCACAAGTCTGTTCATGTCATTAATCTTGATGCAGTTGTAAATTTCAATAAATAATTAAAATAAAAAATATATATATTTAAATTACTTACTTGATTAAATCATCGAGGTTAATAACACTTGGATAACAAAGAAAACATAAAAAATCGTTTTCTGGGATATATACCATCTGTCCCTGCAAAAGGAAAATAATTAATCTAATAGTTATTAAAAAAAATAGAAAAACATGATAAATAGGTAATTTTGATTAGAAATATGTACTAACTAACAGATAAAAGAACATGATACATTTTATTTTAATAATATATTTAATGAGGTAATATATTTAATGCTCTTTCACATGTCCTATTTAATTTGGCATTAGAACATGCCATTAGAGAGGTGATACATACCGAAAAAGGTTTGAACCTGGGTGAAACAATATCCGTGCTTGGATATGCTGATGATCTGGCATGATAAGCGAAGACATGGAAACAATAAAACTAAATACAACGGCGTAGATAAAATCCGGTAAAGAACTAGGTCTCGAGATAAATACGGAGAAGACGAGATATATGGTTAGCTACAAAAATAGCGACAATTTCGATGATATCGATATAGAAGGGAATGTGTTTGAACACATACAGAATTTTAGGTATCTAAGATCTACGATAACTAGAAAAAAACGAAATTTAAGAGTATATTAAGGGTAGGTCGAAGGCAGGAAATTCTTGCAAGCGTCCGAAGGGCAGACCAAAGTGAAGATGGGAAGATTGGGTTAAGGCTGTTTTGGCGGGGCTGGGTTAAGACGGAGCCCAGTGGAAGGAAGAATGTGGACATCAATTGGTGGTATGTTACAATTAATTGTCATATCGTCCTTCTCTCATATAATGTTTTAAAACCGTACTCTTAAGAGTGTTTTTACTTTAAAACATCTAAAAATAACCGAAGAGAACTAACTAATTAATATAGTCTAGCATAAATGTATGCATACTATATGTATGTATATAGAAGCCAAGACTTTTTTAAAAATGTTTATTTTACTAGTTTACAAGTAAATAAAACATAAAAAGCCTACTTCTTTTTTCTTTTTTCTGAGAAGTAGTATGTTATTCTTTGATATTTGGCAATGATTACTTCCACTAAACAAAAATTGAATTTATTTGTTGTATTTTCAAATTACATGTTTACATGCTAACGTTACGATGTATTTACTCCCATCTTCAGAACTACAATCCCAATGATTTTTTTGTCTGTCTGACACCCAATAATTGTTCTAAAAGTATGATGTTGCTCGGGATGTTATATGCCTTAATTTATTATAACTTGTTATTTTATAAAAATTAGAACCTGACAAAAATCATTGGGATTGTAGTTCTGAAGATGGGAGGAAATATCCCGAAACGTTAACATGTAAAAATGTAATTTGGAAATACAACAAATAAATTCAATTGTGGAACTCATCATTGCCAAATAACAAAGAATAAAAAGCCTAATTAACAATACAAAAAAGAAGAGTGGCGTGGAGACAGTCTTTAGATGGACTGAGAACAAATTACAATATTTTCAGAAGGATATATAGAAAAGACGAGTCTAATTATATGTATAAATACATATATATATATATATATATATATATATATATATATATACATATACATGCATAAGTAATGAGCCTTTGGAATATTGTAAAGAGGAAAGTTGCTAACAGTCATGATGGGGTTACGATGGGTATGTGGTGAGAGATCTCACGTGTTGGTGACTTACGTTTGCGTTTTATTATTACAAAAACTGTTAAAAATTAAAAATAAATAAAAAGCAAGTTTGAGTTGATTACCTTCAGCCTGATACTCGGCTCCTTGTTGGCCTTGTTTCCCTTGTCTATCATAACGCCTTCTTTCGACTTCATCACATAAACAGTGTTTATGTGAGATACGATGTTGTTGTAAGTCAAATCCAGATGAGGCCGGATCTAGTATAAAAATAAAAAAATAATTATTATTGTTATTCAGATTCTTTAAATAAACGACAGATTAAGGCGGTCTATCAATGTTGGAGGAAGAACAATGGGATTATGTTCAGCTGTTGATCAATGGTAATAAATTCATAATTGTTACCCAAGCATTGTTTATGCGACAGTATTTATCATGTAGATGAGCGTTTCCAGTGCATACATTTAACCCATGGGTTATACCAAAAACCAGAGTTTTGGTCTTATCGTGCACCCCCCTTCCCCCACATCCCTATAAATTGCATATCGTTGTGTTCCTTGTAACTATTTATTAGAAAAAAGCCAATGTTCCCACAAAAAAAGTGAACGCACTGCCCCAAAATGGCGTCTAAAGATGGCGGATTGACGACTTTGACTTTAGTTAGTTTTTTGGTCACTGAGAATCAGCACTTGGCTTAATTTCCTCATGGTTGGTCTTTTATTAAAGCTGAATAGTCAGAGAATAATAAAACATGAACAAATATTAAAAAATAATTGGCTTAGGCAATAACAAGTAAAAACTTGTAACAAAAAATTTTCAAGTTGAAAATCAAGCATCATTTGTAATTAAACGGCCAACAATAATGCAAAATGTGCTGAAATAAAACATCTGAAGAATATAATTCTCTTTCTAAAACACTGATTCCTTTTTAAAATATTTGAAGCAGTTCTGTAGAAAATGCACTTATGCGGGAAAAAAGCGGCTGGTGCCTACAAGCCTCTACCACACCATTCTGTACACATAAATGGCTTAGTTATAGTGACATAATAACGTTTTTGGTACATTATATTGGTTTTATCAACGAACAAATATTAATGCAATAATTTAATTGTCAAAAAAAATTAAGCAATTTTTTTTTTAATTAAACAACAATAAAAATGATATAATTATAATAATAAAACTTAATTGAAAAATACTTTGCTGAATATCTTATTATATACTTTCCAGGAAATGAGTCATACCAATACCTGTTTTATAAACTAACATAATATATACTTAATCTGAACTACCCATAATGAATAGTTGCCGGGTTGTAAAATTTATTGTTATGAAATTGCGGAATAAATTGTTCGGAAGTTGAACCATATCATAAACAAAAATAGGAAATTTTAATATTGAATGCATTATTCCCTCTGCACAAATAAGGATGGAAAGGGAGAAACTATAAGTTCTTCTAGTGACCGGAACTGATTGTTTTGATTTGGTGTCCTACGACCTATGAGGGAAAACGCGAAATTGAACCCAAAAATTGGAAAAATGCATTAAGCGAACGAGAAAGGAAGTGCCAAAATCTCAGAAAAGAAATAAAGGACCAGCTATCCATTATATGGCTAAACGAATGTGTTGTAGACAGATAAACAGAATATTTCAAGATGCTGCTAAAAGGGAGTCAAATGCTGGAGAAGTTTGGATGATCTTAAGGGGAAGATCCAGGTTTATTATGGTGAAGACCATTTTATCAGCAAGAAGGTTTGTTCGTAGCAATTGGCAAGTCAGGTTTGGACAAAGTAAATCGACATTTACAATAGATGTCTACTTAAACAACCTCTGTACAGAATAAAGTAATTTATCTAAAAAAAATAATAATAATTTTTAAAAAAAATTGTTTAGTTTTTTTGACGATTAAATGATTGCATTAATATTTGTTCGTTAATAAAACCAATATGATGTAAAAAAAACCGTTATTATATCACTATAACTAAGCCATTTATGTGTACAGAATGGTGTGGTAGAGACTTGTAGGCACCTACGCCGGCTCCGCTTTTCTCCCCCATAAGTGCGTTTTCTACTGAACTGCTTCAAATATTTTAAAAAGTAATCAGTGTTTTAGAAAGAAAAATATATTTCCCAGATGTTTTATTTCAGCACATTTTGCGTTATTGTGGGACGTTTAATTACAAACGACGCTTTATTTTCAACTAGAAAATGTTTTGACTTTACGGGTGTTTTTTTATTGCCTAAGCCAATTATTTTTTAATATTTGTTCATGTTTTATTATTCTATGACTATTCAGCTTTAATAAAAGACCAACCATGAGGAAATTAAGCCAAGTGCTGATTCTCAGTGACCAAAAAACTAACTAAAGTCAAAGTCGTCAATCCGCCATCTTTGGACGCCATTTTGGGGCAGTGCGTTCACTTTTTTTTGTGGGAAAATTGGCTTTTTTTAATAAATAGTTACAAGGAACACGACGATATGCAATTTATAGGGATGTGGGGGGAGGGGGTGCACGATAGGGGGGGTCTGGCCCACCGAGTATTAAGGCTGATCTAGCTGGGCTGGGTTAGGACGGGGACGAGTTCGATACCTCGCCAGGGTTCGCCAAGCCTGTTATTATTATTATGATTATATATATATATAATCATAATCAATGGTATAATCAATATAAGTTGATCAATGGTAATAAATTCATAATTGTTACCCAAGCATTGTTTATGCGACAGTATTTATCATGTAGATGAGCGTTTCCAGTGCATACATTTAACCCATGGGTTATACCAAAAACCAGAGTTTTGGTCTTATCGTGCACCCCCCTTCCCCCACATCCCTATAAATTGCATATCGTTGTGTTCCTTGTAACTATTTATTAGAAAAAAGCCAATGTTCCCACAAAAAAAGAACGCACTGCCCCTAAATGGCGTCCGAAGATGGCGGATTGACGACTTTGACTTTAGTTAGTTTTTTGGTCACTGAGAATCAGCAATTAATTTCCTCATGGTTGGTCTTTTATTAAAGCTGAATAATCAGAGAATAATAAAACATGAACAAATATTAAAAAATAATTGGCTTAGGCAATTATACAAGTCAAAAATTGTAACAAAAAATATTTCAAGTTGAAAATAAAGCGTCGTTTGTAATAAAACGGCCAACAATACGCAAAATGTGCTGAAATAAAACAGCTGTAGAATATATTTCTCTTTCTAAAACACTGATTACTTTTTAAAATATTTGAAGAAGTTCTGTAGCAAATACACTTATGCGGGAAAAAAGCGGTGCCTACAAGCCTCTACCACACCATTCTGTACACATAAATGGCTTAGTTATAGTGACATAATAACGTTTTTGGTACATTATATTGGTTTTATCAACGAACAAATATTAATGCAATAATTTAATTGTCAAAAAAAATTAAGCAATTTTTTTTTTAATTAAACAACAATAAAAATGATATAATTATAATAATAAAACTTAATTGAAAAATACTTTGCTGAATATCTTATTATATACTTTCCAGGAAATGAGTCATACCAATACCTGTTTTATAAACTAACATAATATATACTTAATCTGAACTACCCATAATGAATAGTTGCCGGGTTGTAAAATTTATTGTTATGAAATTGCGGAATAAATTGTTCGGAAGTTGAACCATATCATAAACAAAAATAGGAAATTTTAATATTGAATGCATTATTCCCTCTGCACAAATAAGGATGGAAAGGGAGAAACTATAAGTTCTTCTAGTGACCGGAACTGATTGTTTTGATTTGGTGTCCTACGACCTATGAGGGAAAACGCGAAATTGAACCCAAAAATTGGAAAAATGCATTAAGCGAACGAGAAAGGAAGTGCCAAAATCTCAGAAAAGAAATAAAGGACCAGCTATCCATTATATGGCTAAACGAATGTGTTGTAGACAGATAAACAGAATATTTCAAGATGCTGCTAAAAGGGAGTCAAATGCTGGAGAAGTTTGGATGATCTTAAGGGGAAGATCCAGGTTTATTATGGTGAAGACCATTTTATCAGCAAGAAGGTTTGTTCGTAGCAATTGGCAAGTCAGGTTTGGACAAAGTAAATCGACATTTACAATAGATGTCTACTTAAACAACCTCTGTACAGAATAAAGTAATTTATCTAAAAAAAATAATAATAATTTTTTAAAAAAATTGTTTAGTTTTTTTGACGATTAAATGATTGCATTAATATTTGTTCGTTAATAAAACCAATATAACGTACCAAAAACGTTATTATATCACTATAACTAGGCCATTTATGTGTACAGAATGGTGTGGTAGAGGCTTGTAGGCACCTACGCCGGCACCGCTTTTGTCCAGTATAAGTGTATTTGATACGGAACTTCTTCAAATATTTTAAAAAGTAATCAGTGTTTTAGAAAGAGAAATATATTCCCCAGATGTTTTATTTTAGCACATTTTGTGTTATTGTTGGCCATTTTATTACAAACGACGCTTTATTTTCAACTTGAAAATGTTTGACTTTAATAGTGTTTTTTATTGCCTAAGCCAATTATTTTTTAATATTTGTTCATGTTTTATTATTCTCTGATTATTCAGCTTTAATAAAAGACCAACCATGAGGAAATTAATTGCTGATTCTCAATGACCAAAAAACTAACTTAAGTCAAAGTCGTCAATCCGCCATCTTTGGACGTCATTTTGGGGCAGTGCGTTCATTTTTTTTTTGTGGGAACATTGGCTTTTTTCTAATAAATAGTTACAAGGAACACAACGATATGCAATTTATAGGGATGTGGGGGGAGGGGGTGCACGATAGGGGGGGTCTGGCCCACCGAGTATTAAGGCTGATCTAGCTGGGCTGGGTTAGGACGGGGACGAGTTCGATACCTCGCCAGGGTTCGCCAAGCCTGTTATTATTATTATGATTATATATATATATATATATATATATATATATATAATATTCCAGAAATCTGAGAGAGCGAAGATAATAATAACAGTATACAATAATGGCAGTTTTCATATTATTATTAATCTAAGTTTTAAATTTATATCGAAATGATTCTTTATCCCACAATCTACATAAAAAATTATTGATTAATTTTGAAGGTAACAGCTGGTTATCCTTGTAGGGTGAGTTAACTCAAAAGCACTATGCACTTGTAGAATGAGCTAGCCGTCCCTAATTTGTTTACAATCGATTAACTCAAACGAAATTTACTGTTCAATAAGTATCTACGTCTTTGCTCTTCCGAAGTTGAATTGTTTGAAATATCTCGAACAAATAATCATTTTATATCTTGTTTGAAAACGTCGTAAATCATAATGTTAAATAGACTTTCAGTGTCTATTGCAAACATAGCTCATTACTCATTCCATGGATTAATACAAACCATCGTCCATCATTTCAAGAAGAAGAAGAAAAGTAAATTTTATTCAACACATTTATTCTCCTTTATTATTATAATGAATAACAAGATGATAATTGTCTGACATTATAAGAAAATAAAAAAATAATTACCTTATAATTAAAATAAATTAAGTACAAGTATACACATTAATTTGTATATAAATATAAATAAAAGTGTTCAGATATTTGTTCTGATTAAGAATATTGATAATATATAAGTATCAATAACATAACAGTCAAACGAGGGTGACAGCTCTTAAATACGAAATTTCATTCTTAGACGTATGCGGAAGATTAATTTCTAAGAATAAATGTAGTTTAAATAAGATTAGGAGTTGGAATGTTTTTAGGAGCATAGAACCACGGGTTTTCAGGAACTGTTTTAGGAAGCAATAGATTTTAGGATAATTTGAGAAACATAATTATTCCAGGATAGGTATTAATCAAAAATTACACCGAGACGGATAGGTAGTCCATTGAGCTCCAGTAGGGCCTAGTATTGACTGGAATTAATAAGATCCTTGGAACCAATGAGAATAGCTTTGGTTTTCTCAGTGATCAACTTTAAATCATTACTCGCTGCCCAAGTAGTAATGCTGTTTATATCTTCTTGTAGTCTTCGGATAGCCTCAAGCATCTCAGTGGAATAAAAAGAAAGGTAGATTTGGATATCGTCAGCATATAAGTGCTATTGTGAATGATGGATAAAATCAGGAAGGTCGTTGATGTATATGGAGAAAAGTGTTGAAAAGAGCGGTGATTCCTGCGGAACACCACGAGTTAGTGAAAGGGGTGAGGAAGAAGTTGTATTGGGAATAATGACTGTTTGGGATTTTTAATACAAGAAAGAACGGAACCACCTTAGGACGGTATTTAAGAAGGAAAGATTTTGGAGTTTGGAAAGGCAGATTTCATGATTAACGGAATCAAAGGCTTTTTGTCAAAGTCAACGTTTTAGAAATACAGTATTGGGAGAAAACAGATATTGAGATAGGACCGGCAAAGTAGGAATTCAGTTCATCAGGAGAAACAGAACAGGAAGTGCAGATTTTCGATTTTACTACAGAGAGTTTTTTAAGGATCTTCCATCTGGTCTTAGGATCTGGTTCTTGTGAAAAGAGATAGAGATGATGATTTGTTCTTTAATTTATCGGCAGAATCACTTGTGATTGCAAATTAGTGTTGCGAATGCTTCTGATGTCTTGGCCGTTATCTCCTCCCATCTTCATCCTCCGGGTTATTTAAATTGTGCTGTCTTGACTTGTTCGCAAAAAGGTTCAGAACGTCGGTACAGTTTCATCTTTGTAGACTGAGACTTAGCTGCAGGAAAATTGGAGTTCAAAATGGAGAATAATAAAATGAAAGTGAAACCTGGTGGAAGATAATCTGTCTTCCTCCTTTTTTTATTGTCAGAAGTTGATCCCTGAACAGATCGTTTACTTTAAGTGCTTTCGTTATATACCTATATATCAACATTTTTATTTATGTAAAGCTAATATTATATGATTTACTATAATTAGACCACTATGGTTTTATTTTAATTTTAATTGTCAGTTCAATATCAATAGCTCAATATCAAGGTAAATCGTGGTCATTATGCTAATTCTAAAGCAGCCATAAAAATTATACACCTCATTGTGTATCCTCGATTAAAAGGTGACCGTATATTGTATATAAAACAAAAAAACGATTCTCGGTAGTCAATTACAACGAATAAAACATATAACCCATTTAGATGATACATTTATTTTTGTAACCGTTTATTTACTGGAGCTCACCCATACACCCTTTAATGGAATTATAATTTATAATTACGTCCACTAAAAACAAACAATACCTATGTGAATTGATACCAATTGATAATAATTAATTTTCAATTGACTAATGAATATATGCGTGTCATTATATCTTTATTTAGTGCCATTGCAGTATATTTAATCAAGAACAATCTTGGTTTATTTTTTTTTCTTTCATTTTTAATTAAATTTGTAGATCTTGAAATAGTGGACTGTTGATAACAAAAAGTACTTTTTTCTGGATAATGAAATTTAATAATTAACGAGACAAGGGATATAATGGCCCTGGTGATTGATGCCTTTGAATACATTAAAAAAAAATTCTTACCGGATCCATGAGGTCGGTGAGCAGAAAAGACCTTATGTCCCTATTTTTCGGAAGGAGGCTGGCTATCTTCTCCCCGACTTGGCGAATCTGAAGGTTTCGATCAAACAGGAAGTGGAATGGGAAGATCTTGCAAAACGTACGTGGGCTTACTCTCGGTGGACCTACAATAGCCAAGTCCAAAAATAAAAAATAATAATAACAAATATGATTGAATAAATTATATATGGAACTAATTAAATGTTTGAGATATGTTAGTTGAATACATAGATAAATACACAAATACACAAAGATCAATCCTTAGGATAATTAATTTATTCAACACTTTGATTATCATTATGTGTTTTTCTGTTACTTGATATAATACAAAATAATTTATAAGAGAGTTGTGCATTTTCGTTTGTTTTTTTTTCCCACTAACAACTATTTCATTACCTCAACAAATCATCGACCTAATTCATACCAAACGCAGTGCCAGATTGTTATGGCAAAGTACCAGACATCCCAGCTGGTATAATTACCACTGTAAACAACTAAAGCAAGAATGATCCAACTTTATTTCCAAATCCTTTAACTACTACCTTGCCTCCCTCTCCGCTCACGACAATAAACTCTATTTCATATAGGTGGTTAGTTTCTTTCTTTTTTTTCATAAGTAATTATCGTTATATATTTAAAAAAAATCTTTCGGGCTGAAACCCCCCCCCCCAAAAAAAAGCAAAACCTGGATCCGCTAGTGGGGGAGATGAATGTACAATAAATAATTAAGTAAATGAATCGTACTAAGTAAAAATTAACATTTTGTTTACAATGATGGTAGGATAAACTAAATTCATTTGCAATGTTCATTTGAATTAAATGGTATAAAAAACTGTTGACGATTTTTTTCTTTGTAAGAATATATGAGAAATGCAATGCCATTACATTTCTCAAAAAAAGAAATACCAGTTTCAGAATTTTTTTTTTCATTTATTTATTTAGAAAAATAATAATCTTTCTCGTGGACAATAATTATAGTGATATATGAACACATTCACACCATATTATAAATTATTTTCTATTTTATTTTATTTTCACACCATTTTTTTTATTATTTAGATTCGTTTTTTAAAAAAGAATATACCATTCCTTTTACATGGGAATCGATACTTATCTCAATTTCCATAGAAATCTATTTAGATTAATTTTGGAAATAAACCACACAAATATTCAGCGATCTTCGTAACCCGCATCATTACTCAGCAATGGTAGTTTTGATTTACTTTTGCTTTTTTTTTTTTTTTTGGTGAAATGTAACACTTCAGAATAGCATATCATATTGCTGAAAAATACTAGAAAAGAATAAAGGAGGACAACAATCATCCTGAAACAATGTAAGAGCCATTATTACACACCACGCTCCATTTACAAACTGTGCCAACAAACGACTTACTACAACACATCTAGAATTTTTTATTTGTCCACACACGTAAATTCTCTCCATGGCAATCATTATAAAACTCTGAACATGAAAAGCAAACGTATAACCTTGTGAATATCCCAAAGTTGACGGTATTCTTGATCTTAATTTCTTTGGCAATGGCTTCCTTCCGGAGTTGGCACATTAGCACAAAGAGTTTGCAACTAACCATCTATACCATAACTATTATCAGGCTCTAGCCAATCAACCACAATAGAAATGTAGGAAAAATGTTCGTATTTTAATATATATATATATATTTTTTTTAATATAGTTCAATATAGAAGCTAAGACTTTTATAAAAAAAAACTTCTACTTGACAAACATAGCAAATAAAATACTTGAAAGTCTAAATCAAAAATAGCATAAAGAAGAGTTCAAATATTAAAATATTTTCTGACAATTTTATAGATTGCAATGTTTAAAGCCTATGCAATATTTCCCCCCGAAATTGAACATTACGCACTGCAAAAAATCGTGCAATGATTGTAAAATTTAACACAACTATAACATCGAATTTTAAATGTATAAAAAATTGTTCCGGCGCTTTGAACAATTATAAACAATCTCACCACATTACTGTAATCGTTCGAAAATACACACAACTCTTCTTGTTCAACAATGTTTAAACTTCTAAATGCATCTTTAACATTAGGTCTTAAAATGTTTAAATTTTTATTTATTACCAACGATTTTTCCCTGTTGGTTTTAGAATGCAAGTAATTAGGCAAACTTTAAACCCATAGGAATAGACTTTCGATTTTGATTCGGGGCTGATAGACAAAAAAAAGTAAAAATTCAAGATAATTATTGTAGAACGAACAAATACAGTATTGAATATTTAAAATCGATTTGTTTATAATATAAAAATATTATATAAATATTTATATTTAATTATTAATAATTATATAAATATATTATGTTTGTATAGTTGTAAGGATATTTATTATTATTTTACTTATTATATATACTTGAAAATATCTTTAAAAAATACAGTTACATTGGGGAGAGAGGAGACAGCCTCCACAGCATTGGTACATTTCTAGAACTTTTTCAGCTTAAAATGAATAATGTAAAAAAATTAAAAATATCTTTGATTTCTCAATGTGTACAATCTCAAATAAAAGTACGTTTTTCACAGTCCGACTAGTTTGTCGCGGAAAATATGATAAGAATTCCACGTGAAAATTGAGAAGTGATTTAATCATAAATCCATGTTGATATATATGAAGAATATATTTGAATATAAATGACAGTTTAAATAAAAGCAACATTTAGATATAAATAAATACCTTTTACATACCTACATGTTTCATACTTTCCTACTGTTACATACCTACTACAAGGGGCTCTAGCATAGTCCACTTTCTTAATTGATTTTAATTTATTTATTTATCTACATTTTATTCATTCATATTGCTTGTTTTGAATTGATTTTAATTTTTTTGTACCTCAAATTATTGTGGGGGCGAAACGATATTCTCGACCCCTCAACATTTTTATTGGGGGGAGGGGAAGTGATCGCTCCCCAGAATCTACGCGTATGTTTAAACCCCTTGTTAAGATCTAGTATTACTTTTTATACCTACTTAAAAAATCCTAATGACTGCCATTGACCACATATGATATATCCATTCTCCTACAAACAAACAACTTTATTGCTTGGTAAAAACGTAGATGTGGCCCTGATTACTGAAACACTAACCAGTAAGCTGGTTTTGAAAGTGTCGTGGTACCTAGCATATCGTAATGACCATTCTGAACGTAGAATATACAGGGTGTTTCGGAGTTAAGTGGCCAAACTGAAAATATGAATTAAGGACCTCGAAACTAGAAAAAAAAATCCTATGAAGGTATGTCCTCAAACGCTTTGTTTAGGAGATATTCACACGTAAAGATTTCATTGTTATGAATTATTTAAGGCATATTAAGTAAATAAAACTTATTTATTTGTTCTAACTACTTTATTAATTAAATCTAAACATTAACATTTACATCAAATGTTGTTCAAAGTGATTTCCTTGAGCATTAAGACATTATGAGCATCTTTCTTCAACAGCAGCAGTGGCAGAATGGCACTGGATTATGTTATTGTTTCACAAGATTCAATTATCCTTCTTCGTAAGGAATTAAGGTCATTGACCGGACTTGCATAGAATTTTTGTTTAATGTCACCCAAACAAAAAAATCCAGTAGTGTCAGGTCTGGAGAGCGTGCAGGCCAAGCCACTGGTCCTGCACGGCCAATCCATTGATTGGGATAATTAACATTTAGCCATTGTCGTGGACATCTTCCGTAATGTGCAGGACAACCATCTAATTGAAGCCACATGTCCCTTCTCAGTTGTAGTGGAATATATTCAACTAAATCATAGTAATCATTATTAAGAAATCCTGAAATGTGCCCGCATTGAGTCGAGGCGACAAGAAATGCGGACCTATTAAAATATTGTCTATTATCCCCAACCACACATTGCACTGAAACTGGTGCTGAAAATGATGCTCACGAATTGCATGGGGATTTTCCTGCGACCAGAGATGATTATTTTTCTGATTGAAGATACCTCTTCTTGTAAAGGTAGCTTCATCTGTCCAGAGAATTTTTACTGAAAATTGTGGATTATGCTCAACTTGATTTAAGTACCAATCTGAAAAATTTCTTCTTTGCCGAAAATCTTGCGGTAGTAAATTTTGTACCCGTTGATAATGATATGGGTGAAGTCCATCTGCAATGAGAGTTCTCCATACTGTAGTTGGCGTAATATTCAATTCTGCTCCAGCTCTTCGTACACTGCCAGATGGATTATCATCACAATATTGTAATATCATAGCACTCCTGTCTCAATTTCGTAGAGGGACAAAATTACCATCAGCACGTGGTATTATAGCAAATGCACCAGTTTCTCTAAGAAGTTGAAATGTGGAGCTAAAGATAGACTTGTTTGATTAACAACTCTCTCTTAGAAGTCAAGATACTGGGCCCTTTTTTATCTTAGGCTTTTTTATCAAAGCTCCGATAAACACCTCAACGTCAGTTAGGATCTGTTGAAAAGGTGTTTCCTTTTCAACAGATCTTATATTACCCCATCCTCATCCTTATGGAATTCTATCCCCTCCTGCATCTGTAATTACAATAACCTACCCACCTTTAAATCCCGCCAATTCAATAACTTCCTTTGTACTTTTTAACCTTCACGACGGGCAGGATTAGGATTACCATTGCAAAAACCGTATACCATCACCATATCGGCATATTCACCATTAGTATAAATGGAAGGCATAATGATGAGAACTCTACGAAAGCCTCTTACAAACTGATAAATGTTCTCTCGATAACATTTATCAGTTTATAAGAGGCACCAGAGCTTGGATTTTTATCCAATTGCATATTTTGGTAGCATGTAGTTTTTAAACAGCTGGTGAAATATTTTTACTAATCAGTGTAAATAAATAATTAACACCTTTATTTGTAATCATACAAAAATCCTCTGTTACCGATAGATATTTCAGTAAATCACAGCAATATTCAATCCCTTTTCTTCCAGTCTGCTGGTGTTTCTTAAGATAATATCCTTTACACAGTTTACAAGCCCTTTACAGCAGACAACCCGACCCATCCCAACAGAGTCATTACCACCAACGCCGATGACACTTGTGTCCTATCGCTTAATAACGAACCAACAATTTAATCCTAAACTATTCATTC